AACAACATACGAACAAAAAGAAATCTGTAGAATATGTTCATAGGTTATGTGGGCATGTGACTTCCCGGTTGCCCTGATCGAGGAACGGAGATAACCATGGCGTCACCATCCGAAGACTATGTCTAGAAAGTCAAACTTACACGACAACAGGACGGAGCTCAAAGTTCACTGTCCATTAGGGGGCCGGTGACCAGCTCATTGGATCATACACCCTTTGGATGGGGTCAAACGTCCAAGGTGTTTAATACACCTTGATGCCCAATTGAACCAGTGCGCCTTCTCTTGGTTGGTCTGGAATCAGGGGTTTAAGCGAACTCCCTTAGGTGATCTGCCAATGGTCCATCAACCCGGTTATAGCCCCGGATGTTGTTGGTTTTTCGTCCTCTCACTTTAGTGGGAAAACACCTCCGCCACGTTGGTGCAGTGAGTAGGGCTTCGTCAGCAAAGGCTGTTAGAGACGCTTGATTATATAGGAGCATTTCGCTGGGTGTGAGGGAGTGGTGACCAGTCAACCCGAGGTACCCTCCCCGACCATACTGCTGAGGCTTTCAAGGTCATTGTCTGCAGATTTCGCTACATCTTCACGGGTGTAACACGGCCTAAAACAGTCTGTGGTTTGACAGTTCATGAGTTACACCCAAATTCGACAGACAGGTCAATAGTTTTGCACTTTTGAACACTGGTAAATGAAACTGTTACTGACAGCTCCATTGACGCACGCACTTAAATACGGTTTCCGTGTTCTATAGTTCCAACAGATTCCGCAAACCTGAGAAACCGAGCATCAACTAAATCCGGTTCTAGGAAGTCATACCGGGATTCGTCATCATTTGCTTTCAAGATACACATTTGCATTTACTGGTCTTCGATAGAGTGGGGGCTTGGTTGAATACGCAATGCGTTTGAGTGTGACAGTCCTTGGGTTGATGGTTCTCGGGCGGGGGTGGGAGGTCACCGTGGATCACCTTTGAATCATCGGATTCGGTCAACGGGTCTCCTAACCTAGCTTGTCATATGATTCGTTTGTACATTTGTCCTGTCATATAATACATGTTTAACTAACTGACATAGACATGATTGTTTGTCCTCTACCTGGTCTTCTCATATTGCATCAGATGTAGTCTAACATTGAGGCTATCCTTTCTGCTGTATTGGACCAGTGGAGACCATTCGAAATTGACCATGTTGGAAAGTGTACGGAGTCACATACTGTTCCACAAATCGTTTTTTTTTCTCTTCACGTAACCCTTCGTAAGGGAATATCCCAAAATATTTGATGGTACACAGAAGCGTCCCACAAACATGTTGCCTCGGACAGAAATTTTCTCAATCCATGTCGCATTTGATTGTTGAAAAGCAAAGTTACTCGGACAAATCTCGAACAAACTGTATAATTGATATGTAGGTCACTGACATACTCTGGGACCTTCTTCAATCACCGAATCAACAAACTGGTCCTCCCCCGGCGGAATCCCTTCCTCCCATCGACCGCAAGTCGCATAGCGTGAATCTTTTTCGGCACTGTACCACACATATCATCCGTGTTATAAAAAAAACACATCGTTCATATGATTGTTGTCTATCGATCCTAAAATGAACTGAAGGAAAATGGTTTAGAATGAATAATGAAAACAGGACGGTGAAAGATTGGATTAGCCTATTCGATTGTCAAGAGGTACCAGGCATTCTTGGGTGTGAGTTTCACTCCTTGGGAGATAGTTGATTTGCCACGATTTTATGCATTTGTATGCGATGGAAATATTTACGATAACCGACAAAGAGCTGTTTCGTCCTGTTTTGGGGACTCGTCAGCAGTGTGTACTTTTTGTATCCCTGTCAGGACTCGAACCACGATCAGTCGGGTTAGGACTTCAAACCCTTACTCCTGAGCTACACGGTCGACGGTCATCACCTTGTGCGAATGGCTGAATCAGTTTTACGGTGGAAGTTTGGATTAGCCCATTCGATTGTTACGAGGCACCAGGCACTCTTGTGTTTTGTGTGCCCGTTTCACCATTTTTTTTGCCAGTTTTGTATCTGTTTGTTCTTCTTTCTCTTTTACGGTGCACCGGATTGCAACAGGTAGACCGTACAAAATTCGCGCCATGAATTTCTCTTCTCTGACGACGGATCTCAGCCTCTTGGCAACGACTAACCATCCCCTCGGTTTAGGTTCCCGGAACTGATAACTGAGCAAGCAGTATTTCTACTGACTAAGCATCACGCTAAGGTGTGTAATAAAAATGCACTTGGTCTGGCCGAGAATGATTTTTTTTTCGGCATTTCGCATGGTGAGAAAATGCTTCAATGCTGGATCAGGATTCAGTTATTGTCCTAGACACATTGCCAGGACCGGGGGTATAGCGATGTACTATCGTATTCGCTAGTACTCGTCACAGGTTTACCTATTCGTGTATGGCACACTGTTATTCGGAGTCACCCACCCACCCACCATCCATCCATCCATCCATTCTATACACCCCGGTTTTATGAATTGGAACGATAGTCAAACGTTG